CTGGCGGGACGTCTGATGCTTTGATTTTTGTATAAAAATCTGAAATGTGTCATAGAAAGTGTTCAGTAATGGAAAAGACTCTATTAAACCTTGAAGTATTCTGCAGCTCTGGACAGGATCCAATCTTCCAACTAAACTGTTTGTACATAATGATGTCCTTGTACTTCAGTAGGCAGAATGTGCAGTCTGGAATTCTTTGCAGAGGCATTTTTTTCGGGCTTCCTGCTCTCCAATGCAGATTGTAATTGCTGTGGTAAAAATTACATTAACCCTTCTTGTGGCGACATCCATCAAGTTCACATGTCCGTGGTATTTATTGTCTAGGGGCCAGCCTTCACCTTTAACAAGAGGGGGTTGATGCATCCGTAAAGTTTGCAGTAATAATAACAGATTGTGGATGTTTGTTTGCCATTGGCTAACTTAATTTGGGAATATAGCATACTAATTATATTATTAGTTCTGAAGCTTCTTTCTGAATTTACACTTAACTGGTGGTGATCTACCTGGACATATTCTGGACATATGCAAGTCATTAAAGCAAGAAAATAATCTTCTCCCCTCCAGCAAGCGTTTTTGCTAGGGCCATCATCTTCATCCTCCCTTCTTCAAAGTTCAGGATTATTATTATTATACAGGATTTATATCACGCCAACAGTTTGCTCAGAACTTTACAATATAACAGGAGATAATACAGCAACAATACAGTTCAATACAAGAGGGATAGGAGGGCCCTGATCCTTGGAGCTTACAATCTAGGAATTTGAATCTTTGGATAGGCTACTTTTTATGACACATTTTTCAGGATCTTTGGTTGTCTTTTTTTGGCTGTACTGGGATGATGTAACGCACATGCATTTATTCATCCCAGCACATGCTGAAATTGTACATTGTCCAGAAGACATAGTAGGTCTCTTCAGCAATAAAAAGCCAGCTATTTGTACTTTTTTTTTTTTTTTATATCAAGTTTCGCTTGAACATCTACAAAATTGGATTAATATAATTAACATGAAATACAAATCCAATCTTAGGTGCACTTTATTATATTTTTATAATACATTGGATTTGTTTTCCTTCAGATATACATCTTGTGCTGGCTGCGTTGGTATCTAAATTCCTTTAGGGCCCATTCAGACAGGGCGCAGGCATGCATTCCCCATGCAAGGCCGCCTTTTACTGGCACGGGAATATATAGCTGTTGCATGCATCCCTATTCCGACGTCTCATTAATTTCTACTGGGACATGTGGCTGCATGGGCACAGATGCAGTGTCCTAATATAATGTGGGGTGGGTGCGGGTGCTATATTCCCATATGTAAGAAAAATATATTTGAGATATATTTTAAAAATATTCTTTCCAAATATATTGCCATATATTTAAAATGCTACAATTTTGGCCATATTCAATAGATTTCAAAATATATTTCAATATATATATATATATATATATATATATATATATATATATATATATATTTTGCACGTTGAAATGCAGTTTTTATTACAAACTATATGAAAAATATTTTTAAAAATACATTTCAAATATACTGTATGTCTTTAAAAATACAAATCTACATTTTTGGAATGCATTTACAAATATATGTAAAAAATATATGTTAGTGACTTTTTTTATATTAAACAAAATCTGAAGAATATATTTAAAAAATATATTTTTAAAAATATATTTTTTAAAATATATTCTTCATATTTTTTAACAAATAAAAAAGTAATTTTAACATCTATTTTTACGTATATTTGTAAATGCATTCCAAAAATGTAGATTTGTATTTTTAAAGACATACAGTATATTTGAAATGTATTTTTACAAATATTTATCATTTTGTAATAAAAATGCATTTTAACATGCAGTATTATATATGTTTATTGAAATCTATTTTGAAATATATTGGATATGGCCAAAATTGTAGCATTTCAAATATATGGCAATATATTTAGAATATTTTTAAAAATATTTTTCAAATATATTTTTCTTCCATGTGGGTTAGACCACAGCAGCTGTGTGTCCCAATAGAAATTAATCTAACACTGGCAAGGGGATGCACGCAACAGCTGTGCTTCCCTGTGCTAGTAAAAGACGACCCTGCACAGGTTATGCTTGTCTGCATCCTATGTGAAAATGTTCTCTAATGGCTCATTCATATAGGCGCGCAGTAAAAGCAGGTGGTTGAGCTTTAGTTTTACTGCCCATCTAGACAAGGACATGCAGCCAGTGGTGTATTTTGGTTTTGTGCTGCCCTAGGCAAGACTAAAATCGGGCACCCCCCGCATCTAAGTTTGTCCCACCCCTTCCTGTTTAAGATCCACCCCTTCATCTGTAAACTCCACCCCTTCCTATTTAGGCACCACCTCTTCCTATTAGCGCTCCGCCCACTGACAATGATGGGGCGCTATTCCTCCCATTGACATCAATAATAGGGCACTATTCCTCCCACTGACACCAACAATGGGGCACTATTCCTCCCACTGACACCAATGATGGGGTACTATTACTTCCACACTGACACCAGTGATGGGGCACTATTCCTCACACACTGACACCAATGATGGGGCACTATTCCTCCCACACTAACACCAATGATGGGGCACTATTCCTCCCACACTGACACCAATGATGGAGCACTATTCCTCCCACACTGACACCAATGATGGAGCACTATTCCTCCCACACTGACACCAATGATGGGGCACTATTCCTCCCCACTAATTTGCACTAATGATGGGGCACTATTCGTCCCACACTGACACCAATGATGGGGCACTATTCCTCCCAATGACACCAATCAGAGAGAGAGAGAGAGAGGAGAGGAGCGAGGGAGCGAGAGAGAGGAGGGAGCGAGAGAGAGAGGAGGGAGCGAGAGAGAGAGGAGGGAGCGAGAGAGAGAGGAGGGAGAGGAGAGCGGAGAGAGAGAGGAGGGAGAGAGGGGGAGAGAGAAGGGGAGATGGGGGGAGAGGGAGAGAGGAGGGAGATCGAGAGGGGGGTAGAGAGAGGAGGGGGGAGGATATAGAGAGAGAGGGGGGAGAGGAGAGAGAAAGGAAGGGGGGAGGAGATGGGGGGGAGAGAAAGTTGGGGGAGAGGGGGGGAGAGAAGAGGGGGGAGAGGGAAGAGAGAGAGGAGATAGGAGAGAGGGGGAATAGAGAGAGAGAGGAGAGAGGGGGAATAGAGAGAGAGAGAGAGAGGGGGAATAGAGAGAGAGAGAGAGAGGGGGAATAGAGAGAGAGAGGAGAGAGGGGGAATAGAGAGAGAGAGAGGGAGAGGGGGGAATAGAGAGAGAGGGGAGGGGGAGAGAGAGGAGGAAGGGGGAGAGAGAGAGAGGGGGGGAAGGGGGAGAGAGAGAGGGGGGAAGGAGGGGAGAGAGAGAAAGAAAATAGGGAAGAGAGAGAGGGGGGGTGAGAGAGGGTGAGAGAGAGAAGGGGGGAAGAGAGAGAGAGGGGGAGAGAGAAGGGGAGAGAGAAGAGAGAGGAGGGAGAGAGAGAAGGAGAGAGAAGGAGAGCGGGGAGAGAGAGGGGGGAGGGAGGGAGGGAAAGGGAAAGAGAAGAGAGAAGGAAAGAGGGGGGAAGAGAGGGAGGGGGATAGAGAAAGAGAGGGGGAGCAAGAGGGGAAGAAGAGAGGAGGGGGGAGAGGGGGGCGAAGAGGGAGAGAGAGGGAGAGGGAGGGGGAAGAGAGGGAGAGGGAGGGGGGAGGAGGGAGAGGGGGGAGAGAGAGGGAGAAGGGGGAAAGAATACACAAGACTGGCTGGAAGTGTGGTCGGGGCAGACACAGGAGGAGAGGACGGGAGGAGGAGGGGCAGCTTCCTTTCTCTCTCCTCTCCTGTCTGTGTGAGGGTGGGGGGGGGGGGGAACTGTCAGCACTGGGGACTGCATATGCTGACAGATCCCCTGCAGTGCTGGAGGGGAGGGGGGTTTGGCCGTGGGGGAGCATACAGTAGCTGACCGTATGCAGGAGATGGATAGGGGAGGTGACTGGCGGCACATAGAGCAAAAGAGAAATGCACGGTCCTCTATGTGCCGCCCAGCCCCCTCTCCAGCCGGCTCCATGGCTGACAGGTTCTCTGTCTCCTCACCCATCCTCGCTGCCGAGCACACACGAACCCGCCCGAGCACGCCCCCCTGGCCAAGCACAGCCCTTTGCAGCGAAAGCACTGGTCCCTTCTGCCTGGGGGTGGTGCCACCCCCCTGAAAAGTGCCGCCCAAAGCAGATGCCTTGTTTGCCTTGCGGCAGATACGGCCCTGCATGCAGCCACTCAAGGTTCTACACATGTCACTAAGCTTTCTGTCAACAAATCCCCCTACATAAATTGTACCTGTTTATCTACTGCTGTCTTTCCCCTACATCCCATCACAGTGCAGCATTTACACTGGATCTCTCAGCTCTGAAAAGCAGGGGGTGGAGAGCTAAAATTAAACTCGGTGAAGAGAGTTCTGATTGCTGATTGGAGGGAAGGGACATACTTCCTTCACACAACACATAGGAACAGAGCTAATGCTGTCAATCACAAGCTGTGTCCTCCCCTGTAACCATTTTTCTCTTGGTGTTAGCATCAATCACTTCTGACAAATTTTTCTGATAGCAGAGAAATGATGCAGTAAAGAGAATTGACATTTATTCCTCTGAACTGAGACAAGCACACACTATAGAAGAATATGCTTTGTGCAACTTTCATGTCAGAGGTTTACAACCACTTTAACCACTTCCCGTCCGGCCCATGTACATAGCAGTGCAGGACCTGGTGGCCATTTATAAACGTCCTCCCGCATTCCCTGCCTGTGCGTGCTACCTCGGAGGACACAGCGGAACACCGATCGCTATACGGGACCTCTGTTTGAGGTCCTGATCATGTGATCACTGATTGGCCAATCAATAATCACATGAATAGTAGTAAGCAAGATGTCACTTCCTGACATCATTGCTTACTACTAGTGAAATCTTTGAATGATCACAGAGACCACATGGTACAAGGCTATTTACAACAGCCTTGTACCATGTGACAAGCTGTGACCAATCACAGCTCTCACAGTACTTCTCCATGGCTGCAAGAATGCAGCCAGAGAGAAGGAGAAATGATTGGTTTTACAGCCTTTATGGGTGTAAAAGCAATCGGTGTAAAAAAAAAAAAAAAATCATCACCCACCCACAAGTAGTACAGTGTCACTATGGTGACACTGTACTGCTAGGGTGACAGTATGTTAAAAAATAAAAAAAAACAAATAATAGTATAAAAATGTAAAAAGTATTTTTAAAAATTGTAATTTTTGGTTATGAACTAATTTGGGTTTTTTTTTTTTTTTTTTTTTTACTAAAAAGATAGCTGAATACATTTTGGACAAGATTTATGAATAAAGATTATTTATTTGCAAAATAAAACACTTTTTTTTTTTTTTCCAAAATGTTTGGACTTTTTAATTTATATAGCAAAAAAAATAAAAATCCCAGTGGTGAATAAATGTAGTTTTGTATACGTAGAGTGAAGAGTGTTTAGAATACCTGTCAGGTTTTTATTCCTTTCTGTGCCTCTGTTTGGAAGATCTCTGCCAGTCTTATCTGAGAAACCATCGATCCCAGCACTGGGCATAGAGATGAGTGAAGGAAAGTTGGCTGCGACTCATCTCTATGCCCTTGGAGGACCGGAGCAATGTCACTTCCTATTCCGGCCATTTTTTTTTTTTCTTTTTTAAGCATTAGATCAATGCTTTTTTTTGATCCAATGCTTGGCAGAGCAGAGATGTGAGGTCTTGTTGACCCCATATCTCTCCACAAAGAGGACCTGTCACTAATTATTTATTTCACAAGAGATGCATGCATTTCTTGTGATAAGAATAAAAGTGATTAACATTTTATTTAAAGGAACAGTGCAAAAAAAAAAAAAAAACATTAAATACATTTTTTAAAAAAAGTTTAAAGTTCCCCCGTCCCCCGTGATAGTGGTGAACGCTTACGTAGGCCATGCCCATATATGTAAATGGTGTTCAAACCACACACGTGAAATATCGCCATGAATGTCAGAGCAAGAGCAATAATTTTCACAGTAGACCTCCTCTGTAACTTTACACTGCTAACCTGTAGAAATTTTTAAAGCATCACCCATGGAGATTTTTAAGTACCGCAGTTTCATGCCATTCCACGAGCGTGCGCAATTTTAAAGCGTGACATGTTGAGTATCTACTCGCGTAACATCCTCTTTCATATTTTACAAAAAAATTGGGGTATGTATTGTTTTTTTTTTAATCAAAGTGTATTTTTTTCCAAAAAATATTTATAAATTTTTAAAAACTGCACATTTCGGTTTCAATTTTCAGCCAAGTGCATTTTGAATTTTCGTCACCAGAATTTTCATTTCAGTGCACCACTAAATTTTTTTTTTTTTTTAATTGTTGCATAGCTAGATAAAATAGTGAGATTTTATTATCTGCTTGAAATTAAAGGTAGGCTGCATTGGCTTTCTGATTGTAGCACAGCTAAACTAGATTCAGACTGTAATGTTCACAGAAAAGCAATAAAAAAGTATGTCGCTCTTGCGGTGGCATTCATTGTTAATAGCACCCCAAATGTGGCAAGCAGATGTGTGGAGATTAAAAAGGTGAATGAATGTTCGTGCGTGAGGAACAACATTGAAAAACCTGCGCATATGCACCATGCCTGTGTGAATGGGGCCTTTCTACGTAGTGTTAGCAGTGATATTTGTGGTTTGGAATTCCTGGTAATGCAGTGGTTGTGTGTAAGACCAACGTAATGACAGTCTGTAGTGGCGATGACAGAATTAAAAATAATTTAATATGCATTTGCTAAAAAAAACAATTTCACCTATCTATGTTGGAGGCTAGAAGATCTTCGTGTGAGTTGACAGATCTGATTTTATGAAGGCTGATAAAGGAAATCTGAAGGTCGGTTATAAACTAGTTTACGTATACAGTTGCATAGCAACGTGCTGCCTCTCTACTGTCACTCATCACTCATCACACGCTATTCTACACTTGCTGTGTAAAATACTATTAAAATCTAAGCAGTAGGCATCATGTTCAGTAAAACAACAATAATTTCCTAATTTTTCACCTTAAAGGCTAAGTTCACCTTTATAAAAAATATTAAATGCACGTTCTTTTTTTTTTTTTTTTTACAAAAATATGCATTTATATATTTTTTTTTTCTTGGGAGCCTGTAAAGCTTTACTCCCACAGATTGTAGGGGCAATGTCAATCCCCTGTGAGCTGTCCGTTTAGCTGTCTGCCCGTACCTCTGATACGGGCAGGCAGTTATTGTACTCCACGAAGCTCAATGGGCTACAAGAGCGCCCTCACAGTTAATTGAGAACTGGGAGCCGCAAGCTGCAATGGATGATGGTACCCTTGTAGGCATTCATTCACAGAAATCCATGAATAAATATCACGGCCCTGTGGGCACAAGGAGGGGGCTGATCGGAGGGTGAAGTGGTGGATGCTTAACATGTTACATGTTTCACCCTAAATATGGGTGTAACATGTTAAGAAAGGTGAACTTATCCTTTAAAGTGATAAAGTGATATTAAAGTCACTTAAAAAGAAAAAATCACAAACGTCTTATACTTCCCTTTAAAACTATTGCATAGAACAGCCCCTATCCTCTTTTGGGGCTCCCATCAGCGCTCCTGGCTGCTCCTGCCTTTGATTCCCCCCCCCCCCCCCCGGAGCAATCCGCTTGCTAGGGGTGTGCTTATGCAGGCTCGATTGACACACAGAGTGCGGCTTAGCTCCTGCCCCCCTCTTTTTTAATATGTGTGGAAATATAAAATTGATATGATATTTATGAAAGTGCTTTTTAGTTCAAGCTTTCGCTGATACTCTAGTATACAGCTGGTATTACAAAATCATTTTCTACAAGTGTTTGACGGTGTTTGGCCCCTTAACCCTTTCAAGTCCGGACACTTTCACCCCCTTCTCGTCCAGGCCAATTTTCAGCTTTCAGTGCTATCACACTTTGAATGACAATTGCGCGGTCATGCAACGCTGTACCCATATGAATTTTTTAGCATTTTTTTGAGACAGATAAAACTTTATTTTGGTGGTATTTATTCACCACTGGGAATTTTTTTTTTTTGCTATATAAATGAAAAATTCCAAACATTTTGAAAAAAAGTGTTTTTCTTATGAACTTTTGCAAATAAATAATCTTTATTCATAAATCTTGGCCAAAATGTTTTATAGTAAAAAAAAAATAACCCAAATTAGTTTTATAACCAACAATTATAATTTTTCAAAAATGTTTTTCACATTTTTTTTTTTTATTATTATTATTTTTTTTTTTTATTATACTGCCACCCTACTTGTGGGGGGTGATGAAGATTTTTTTTTTCTTTTTTTACACTGATCGCTTTTCCACCCATAAAGGCTGTAAAAGCAATAATGTCTATTTCTCTCTGGCTGCATTCCTGCAGCCATTGAGAAATACTGTGAGAGCTGTGATTGGTCACAGCTTGTCACATGGTACAAGGCTGTTGTGAATAGCCTTGTATCATGTGACCTCTGTGATCATCCACAGATTTCACGGTGCTGCGCACTCCTAGGGATCGCGCACAAGCAGGGAAACAGGAGGACGTTTATAAACAGCCACCCGCTCCTGCACTGCTCCCGTCCAGCTGTTTATGTACATGGGGCAGGCGGGAAGTGGTTAAAGGATAAGTTCATCTTTCGGAACGTGTTACATGTTCCTCCCATTTTAGGGTGGAATATGTAACTTGTTTCCAATCCAGCAGCCCCTGCCCAATCCTCCTCCTGTTGTAACAGCAGTACGGGGAGATATTCCCCATACTAGCCGTCACACTTTTTAGAAAGAGCTCTGCTGTGCGGCGCTCCGCCCACACGGCCGTGCCATTCACTCACAGAGTTCTAAGTAGTAAGCAATGATGTCAGGAATTGACATTTGTTTACTAATATTCATGTGATCACTGATTGGCCAATTAGTGATCACATGAATCGGGACCTTACACAGAGGTTCCGTACAGCAATCTGTGTTCTGCTGTGTCCTCCGGAGACAGAGGGCCCCGATCGCGGTGCTGCGCTCTCCTAGGGAACGCACACAGGCAATGGATGCGGGGGGACGTTTAAAAACGTCCACCCGCATTGGCAGCGCTCCCGTCTGGCTGTTTATCTATATGGGCCGGATGGGAAGTGGTTAAAATGAATGTCTGCCTTATGAGTTCCTGACACATGGCCTGTCGGTCATTGTCCCTGGTAGTGGGTTAAATAGGTTGAGATGTATGGGGCTAAAAAAGAGCGTTTGGATTCAGGAGTGTAAACCATGAAGCAAATGGATGAGTTCCTCGTCACACTTGGCCTTATTCTTGCTGTACCATGAAGCACAAGCACCTCTTTGGGAGAACATGCTGTCTAGTGTGGAAAAAGTAGCAGCAAGGGAGATAGTTCACCCTATTATTAGGACTGTTTAAAGCAGTGGTTCTCAACCTGTGGGTCGCGACCCCTTTGGGGGTCGAACAACCCTTTCACAGGGGTCCCCTAAGACCATCAGAAAACACATATTTCCAATGTGTAAAGAGCAGCTACTGTGTAGAAAGCAGCTGCTGTATTTAAAGCAGCTACTCTGTTAAAAGCAGCTACTGTGTTGAAAGCAGCAGTATTGGAGGTAAAACGACACTCATGAATTATAATTACTGGGTAAATAATTTTATGGTTGGGGGTCACCACAACATGAGGAACTGTATTAAAGGGTCACGGCATTAGGAAGGTTGAGAACCACTGGTTTAAAGGATCAGTTCACCATTTACAAAAAAAATAATAAACGCACATTTTTTGCAGGTAAAAAAATGTGCATGTAATAATTTTTACACTGCGGTCTCTGAGGCATTGCACCCACGATTAGCAGGCTGCATGTGTAATGCCTGGATCCTGCCAACACTCAGTAAGCTGGGGTATGAGTGCGGGCAGACAGTTACTGAATGGCAGAAAGAATCAATGGACTACGGGAGCGCTCGCTAGTGTCCTCACTGTTGTTTTGAAATTACAAGCCATGAGCCGCAATGACTGATGGTACTTGTAGGTATTCATTCACAGGAAAATGAATGGATGATGCGGCCATGTGAACAGAGCCCCATAAGTCCATGCTGGTTTTAAATTCTGACAGC